AAGGGTTAAGGTATTTGATTAAAAAGTCTCTATATTATTATTATGGTCTGACCTTTACCCACAACTGGCGTTCTCACCGCAATGGCACTCAGGCGCACTCGAAGTTCGAACAGGCATGATTAGAGATGTGCCGCTGAGAAAGTTCTCGTTCCCGGCAATATTCCCAGTGAGAATATTCTCGAGAACCGAGAACGCTCCCGGGAATATTCTCAGTGTTCTCGACAGAATGCATTTAGTTTTAATTTTTATTTTGTTGTTCATATGTGATATTATCTGTAATGTTTCGATGTTTTGTTAACTGGGCGTTATGACTAGTCGTTATAAACAAGGCATGAAACGTGTGAGTGAGATATTGCTGTCTTGCTCACTCTTTTCGTGGCGAACGCGTACCGCGGCTTTAGGACTCGGCTACGGTATTTGAACATCAGTGTGCCTCTGAGTTTTAAGGCCCTTGCCACCCTGGCGGATTGCAAGCGGATTCAAAGTGGATTTAAAGCGGAGTGGCGACGCGACANCAGTGGGCCATCACTCTCTGGTTTACCCTACATCAATTATAAAGACAAGTCATTTTAAAACAGAAACTAAGTATTCATAATAAAATTTTGATATCATTCATTCTTCCGGGTAGGTACGCCAAGGAAAGAGTAAGAGAAATATGGATTTTAATCTTTTCAACTAATTAAAACTGATGTTTCTAATTTTTTTATCTTCAGAGAACTTTTATTCGCACAATAAAAATATCCTAAAAAATCATCCCTGCAGCGTGGTCACACTACAGCGGCGCAGGCGCAGTATATTGCCGCGATAAGCGCGCCCAATAGTGCACCGCCCTTTGTCCGCTTATCACGCTCTAATAGCTTCCAGACAGATACGGTTATTGATGGGGAAGCCCTTACAAGCCGAAGGAAGAGCCTTAGGATCTCTAAGTACCTAAGTAGAAGCTTAAGCTGTTTTGTGGTTCCGGGCAGACGTGCTATACTGCTGGAAGAACTTGATTTCTTTGGCTGGACTTACATGAACTAACATTTTTACAGAAAAGAAAAGAAAGACGTTTTTGGGTTCCGTAGTCCTGACAAGGAACCCTTATAGTTTCGTCATGTCTGTCTGTCTGTCCGTCCGAGGTTTTGCTTGGAAACTACTGGCACTAGTTTTAATGGAAGACAATGAAAAGGCAGCATAATCACCAACTTTTTAGATATCATTTATTGTCAAGCAAAGGTGCCAGGAGGTGTTTTTGCAACTCAGTGGTTGCCTTGACTCACTTAGAATTCACTATCGAATTCGACGGCAAAAATCTATGCGTATCGCCGTAGATATGATAATTATCAACAGGGTATTTGAAAATAATATAAAATAGATACCGCTTCATCGTACCTACCTCGCGGACGTGGTGTTAAAAACGTCACTTGCTAGTTGACCTGCCGTCGATTTAAATGCACGTGCGACCACTTATCTGACTAACAAAATAGTAGTAGGTAACCTTTCTTCGTCTACCCCACATTTACACCTGTGACCTCTGCCTTTCTAACTAAGAATTAGTTTGGTAGACAATCCCCAAGAAGAAAAGTGATTTTCACTAGAGCTAATGTGATAGCGATGGACACTGAGGCTCTATGAATAATAGATTCTCATAAATAATTGAGCATCTTGTGAAAGAGCGACCTGATTAAAGAAAAAGCTGGAAATCAATGAGGAAAAGCTATTTATTACGCTCTTCAATGGACGTCTGCAAACTGAAGTGATGATGCTTGTTAATTCTGAGACATTACTTCATTAAAAGTCATTCATTTTCAGCAAATGAAAAGCGGTTTTATCTTTTTTTACCCGACTGCGCCAGAAGGAGTGTTATGAGTGTATGTAGCTATGTATATTTCTTTGGCACGGCCTACAGCCTAAACGGCTTGACCGATTTTAGCGTGAGAGGTGTCGTTAGATTCGTCTTAATTGTGAGAGTGAAGCTGGCTATTTTAAAATTGAAAAAATCAAAATGGCGAATTTAAGGTGCCATAATTTTTTTTTATTATCTTTTTAGTTCATTTTTACGCAGTTGGGTTTTTTGTTTTGCATTTTTCCAATCTACTCAATACTCTGTGTAGCATTTTCTGTATTAAATTCTGACTAACCTGAAATATAAAAGTTTTTTCATCCCATGGAAAGGGTGTGATTATGCATAAATTCGGCCTCACATCACCCGCGTCCATTAAGCCAGCGCACGCGCCGCCGCACAAATTGCACGCTTTTAAAACTAATAAATTCCAGCCAAGTGTTTTGTTAAAGTAATGAGGCGATTGAAAAAGGTTTAAGCAGGCATTTTAAAGGGTAATTAATTTACATACAAATTAAAATTTCAATTTACTTGAATACCTTGAACTCGAGCAGTAGTATGAAAAGTCTTCCTTCTACATTGGTAGTGGTTCTATAGCACTTTAACACTTATTAGAGCGTCGATTACTTACGATGTACATAATTGTGAAACTTCGTTATTATTCATTATAGTTTCACAAATATCCAGAATCATCTTGTTCGGGGGCTCTACCGTCATGGAAAGTTCCATAACATCTCACATTTATGCTTTAGAAAAAGAAGAAGGTAGGTAAATTGAAGGAAGGTGTAAAAGCGGTAACTAGAGTCGGTCAATTTTAGGGAACTTTCCTTCAACGCACACAAGATTTCGAGAAATAAACCTTCTGGCGCGGTCGGATAAAAAAGGGTTAAGGTATTTGATTAAAAAGTCTCTATATTATTATTATGGTCTGACCTTTACCCACAACTGGCGTTCTCACCGCAATGGCACTCAGGCGCATTCGAAGTTCGAACAGGCATGATGGACGGCGTCCGCGCCGCTTATGAACCAATAGAGCTGTCAGTTCATGATTTGTTTGGCTATTAAGAGTTTAATCGTTCCCATTATGGACGTGTCCTGAATTCTTTTATTGAATATATTTTGACCATTTTGTCCAATTGTGAGATGCCACTCTTCCTTTTGTTTGTTGGTTACCTACTTATTTAGAGTTTGACACAAGATATTAATAAAATCAGTGTTCCCTAATCAACATTTATTAAGCAGTTTCCTTATCCAAAACTGTTTTACTCCAAAAAATTTGAAGACCTTAACCTAGGCGCAGACCACCGATTTTTTATCGGCGGATAGTTCAGTCGGGCAGTTAATCAGTATGGGCATGTATGGAAGTGCGCATTACACCGATTGATTCTTCATACAAATTAGAATCGGGCCCAACTATCGGCCGACTAAAAAGCCAGAGCACCGATCTAGCTTAATTTGTAAAAATAATTTGCGTGTTTATTTCTTACTTGAATACTTAACTATTATAATTATATAGAGTTTCAATTCCACAAATTAATTCTAAATGTATTTAACTATGACATTTTAAAGATTTATGGTTATAAAACCACACGGCGCCAAACGGCCCTTGTCACTGACAAGCCCTAGAGCAAACTATTTCTGTAGTCCCAAAGATATTTGGATTGCCACTTTATCAATTATTCGAGTTGAAACTTGAGTAATTCCCGCGCACGCGCCGCTTGCGCCAGCGCATAACGCGGGAGCGAGGATTATGGCGCACGACGCGATCTAGGACGTATTTATAAACATATCTAAATGCTATGAACATGTACACGAACTACTTGTCAATTGTTTTATGTACAATAGGTCTTTATAAGTAAAAATTCATAAATCTATTTTGCACCTGAAATACATATAACTTGTTTGTAAGGACCTACAAGGTGTTGTGAATGGAAATAATGTGAATGACTGTTGATAAATAGTTATGAAATGAAATTGTAGCAAAATAGTGTTAATTGGGTGTTATCACAATGAAGGACGTTACTTAGGTCGGGCAAAGTCCGATTCACGGTCGATAAAAAGATAATTTTTGCATCGCATCAGAACAGAAATGATTGCAAATATTACGGGCATGAGTCACTGATAATATCATTATGACACGTTACGTTACAGAAGAAACTTAATCATAACAACTGCTTAAACTGACATTCGACTAATTGAAAAAGAAGATCTAGCTCAAGGTATCGACAACGGTCTACTGATTCGGGGGTCACTATGGTTTGATCCCTGTCAACCGCTGGAGTCCAGCTTACCACAATAGTCCAGCCTGGACTGTTGTAAGAACATACTTTAATTTAATTAGTTCAACTGGAGAAGCCAACAAGAATATTGGTGGACGAGAAAATATTAGATTTAAAATGAAAAAAAAAAGCCTACTGTCTATTGCTAGGTACGCGTTATAACTGCGGGCCTTCGTCGCAAGACCTGCCGCAGTTCCATTACCATAAATATGGGGCCGGCAGTCACACTGTTGGTACACTAGTTACGGGCTCAATTAGTAATTTAGATTCGTTTGCATACTACAATCTAACATTATTTAGTTGCACTAATCTGCCACGGTCCTGGACAAATGTGACAGGATAAGTGCTGAGTAAAATCAATAACTATCGATGCCACAAGGTGTCTCTTCTCTAGAAAGATGCTGAGAGAACAAACCAATCAATCACTTATTTATAGGACCTATACCTTACAAATCTGATTGACATAATTACGTACATCTTGAAATATCTAAACAGGGAATAAATATTACTGGCAGTGATTTTACAAACAGTTTTTACAGTAAGTCGATATTAATAGTCTGATTTGCATCCAACTTCTGAGTGAAGAGGAAGAAGCCAGTCTCTAATCTATGGTGGAAGACGTAGCGTGGGCAGGCCTCCTACTAGGTGGACCGACGATCTGGTAAAGGTCGCGGGAAGAGCCTGGATGCGGGCAGCGCAGGACCGTTCATTGTGGAAAACCTTGGGGGAGGCCTTTGTCCAGCAGTGGACGTCATTTGGCTGAAAAGAAAGAAAGAAAGAAATCTATGGTGACCACAGAGGTTATGCACGAGTATGGATGTATGAGTATAGTCCAGCTTCGACCTTATTGAGGCCTGTCGACTGTGTATAGTTAAAAACTGAATAAAAGTACTCACATCAGGCAGGGTGGCGACGAGCTCCACATTGCCGTAGTCCCCCTCGGCGAGGGTGGGGCTCTGCCACCAGGTGGATGGGTCCCCGTCCACCGCGTACGCCGCCGGGTGCCGCCGCGACTCCGGCCCGACGGACCCCTCGCACACATCGCAGACTACGCCTCGTCTGGGGGCGAAGGTAATCAGGTTACATGGAATATCAGCGAATGTAGGTAGATCGTTTCATCCACGAAGACGCGCCCCACCATTCTTCCGCTAATGTTTGAGTGTTATCGGTATACGCTAAATTATCCATAAGTGCGCACGCACACTACAATAATGACGCTCAGATTGCTCGGATCAAAAGCCCCGCACCCCGCGCTTCCCTCGACCGAAAATTGGTGGGGCGCGTCTTCATGGAAGAAACGATCTTTAACATTAGAACCTCTTTCTGTAACACTGGGAGGACAGTAACTCCCCGTGGTGTTCTTTGGTCATTCATGATAAGCCACAGAAATGTTTATAAGAAATGTGTTGTTTTCAACAGAACAAAACAGCTTTCTTCGTTATCTTCTGTGTCACAACAACAATAATGCAGCGATAATGCTAAAGTAATCGGAGATTATTAATTAGTCGGAAATCCGGGATAAAGCTTATCACTATGTGATTGTTTAATCTGCAATTATCAATTAATTTTGTTGCGCTTTACCTAAACAATAAATAAGACAGATATAATTGCTAGACTGAATATTTAACACTTTATACAACATCATTAACAAACAATTACAAAACACAAGGTACTTCAAAAACACTTCATTCCAATCCTGGAAAGTGAGTTAATTTTCATTTGGCTGTATGTGTACAAGGGGTAGCGCACCGACGAGATGGTCAGACGCGGTGAGGAAGACATTGGGCGGAAGTTTTTAACTGCCTCTGTGGTCTAGTGGCAAGACCACCTGCTTGAGACGCAGAGGTCCCGGGTTCGATTCCCAGTGGGGGCAGATTTTTCCGTTCGGTTTGGTTGGTGGTAGGGCTTGTTCTAAGTCCGCCTGGCTAGCTACCACCATAACAACAATGTTAACAGCATTGTTGTGTTCCGGCAGTTAAAAATAAGATAGCCAGTTCCTCCGTGGTTGAGGATTCCGGGTGAAGCTTGCTTCCACCTTCGGCCTGATCATCACTTACCATCAGGTAAAATACAGGCCAAGAACTTACTCATTGTGGATTAAAAAAAAAGTATGCATCGTGCGGTTCACACAGCTTGTGACCGTAGTCTGTTGAGAAAAAAAACTGCATGTTGGCGCGTTCCTCAACAGTGAGGGACCGAGGAAGATACGGTGTTTGTAGACATTCGACATACTTGCCAGGCGTGTCCCTGCAGAACTCCTCTGCACCGGCGCCTCCGCACGTGGCGTTTGCTGACACGTGAGCGTAAGGCGCTACATCCAGCGGCGCGGGCAGCAGGCTCGAAGGCTCGCTGTCGCTGGCTGCTAGCACCTCGCCCACTGTGGTGCCGCTCAGCCGGTCTAGCAGCGCTCGACCTGGAAAGGAAATTGAATTAATTCAAGTCTGGATATGATTCCAACCATTGTCATTGTGCAATGCACATGTATCTTTCACCCACGACACTAAGCTGTGTACGGAGGTGACATGGTGAATGGTTCCTTGTTGAATACAGAAGCATAAAAAGGTATAATTCCAAAACGAAGAAAGAAACTATTGATCTTTATTATCTCTAGTAGAGGCAGGTTGTTAAAAAAATCAATTACTAAGTACATTTACGAAATTGACCCTAAAATCCGTGGAATCGACATGTGTGGTCAACCTGAAAGTATCCATTGAAACGACAATTTTTCACATCAATTAGGCTCAGACGTATAAAAGCAGTAAATTTGCTGAGGCTTGAAAGGAACTAATTAACTAAAGGCTGATTAACGACCCACAGAAGAGATCAAGTGAGCATTAAAGACCGGTAAAACCAAATAAGCACCTACCTACATAAAATAATGTAATCGTATACGTTTATGTGTATTGACAGATTTCAAAAAGAATATAAGAGTATACAGCGAATTTAGGTAATGATTTTAAGTCCGTGGGTCTTAAAACTAATTTGTATTCTGTTGCTGTACCTAAATAAATAAATAAATAAGATTCGGCCAAACCAACGCGATCAAACGCGATCAGCTAGCCGGCGTGCAGCGATGGCGACCAGATTTAAATGCATTGATCGCCATCGCTGCACGCCGGCTGATCGGGTGTGATCGCGTTGGTTTGACCGAACCTTTAGTCCTATTTGTCGATTACAATGTGAAAACCTTAACTAAAGCTTGACATGAGGAGAACGCACGCAATTAAAAATATTCACAGAGTTCTACTGGTTCTACAAATAGGTAGATGTTGATCTCAGTGGCGGAAATTAACAGCTTGTCAATAAATGTTAACAGCCAATCCACAGGAAAAGATAACACGACGCGACAAGACCCTAATTAAGTATTATTGCCGAGAGAGACATCTAATTTGCGTGTACCTGCATAAATGACTAGTTTTCCATGCCTGGGCACGGCTGTTTCATAGCAATTAGGTAAAGGGACGCATGCGTTGATAGGACGTCCCGTAACATAACTCTCGGCTTTCTAAGGGCCGCTTAAACCGCTTAATGCGCAGTGCCAGGTTTGCGTCGGCATGTGTGTGAATCACGGTCTTGGGCTTAGTGTACACTTCCTTATCCAAATGGTGGTTACCTAAAATAGGTATCTTCCNTATCTTCCTTAAGTTATAGGTTCATGACTTCTAATGATTTCCTTGCCTCTAGAAAATGTAGGCCCATTGGATTAGAGATTTCAATGCTATGATTTTTTTTGTTTCAATTCTATGAAATTCTATGAAAAACGTCGAAAAGCACTAACGACATCGAGATCAAATGTATGACTACCATTTGACTCCTGATGAAAGGGCTCATATTATCTTGTAAATGGTTTTAGTAGTAACGAAATGGGCAAGAAACATTATAACTAAGATGTAGAGTTTGTGAAGTTATGGCTTGTAGAGTTAAAAACATGGCTCTATACGAGACAGATAACTTATTGATAGTGCAAACCATAATAATGTTCTCCTCTTGGTAACATTTTACACGAAATGTTTTTGGTGAGATTAATTTATACAACTTAAACCGTGTGCACACAGCCTTGATCCGCGTAGACGTAAGTACATCAACAGCTTGCCATCTGGCCGCTCTTCACATCCGATAGGTTTATTAATTTGTATGCCTTCATTATGGTTGTGGGAATGTGGGGACGCGCGTATGAATAAATTCTGTAAGCGTGGTTTATGAATGTTTGTGGTGGGTATTGTGGAGTAATAAAGGGCAGGGAGCTTTATGACGCTGAGGTGAGACGGGCTGAATAGTGAAATTCAACTAGCACAAGCTTTCTGAAGGTAGTTTGGGTTGCTTTTCTTATGAATTCAAAGTTATGTGCAATAAAGGCATAAACACTACCCATATGAAAACAAATTAGGTATTTGAGGGTTACCTACTTTAGCACTACAGGGCAAAAAAGTATTGAAATTGAGTAAACTACATATCTTGGAACCAAAAATACAATGGGCGTCAGTATTTTAACGTTATGTAACATGCAATGTTATGTCGTTTATCGACACTTCATACTGTCGAGGTGCGAAATTAAATCCTTTTTTGGTTTTGAGCCTTACTTGCCCCCTAGGGCTAAAGTAACCCGCAAATACAGTATTTTACGTGGCTTGATATGCCTGGAAACTTTAATAAATAACCAAGAAAACGAATTGACGATTGACTGAAAGAAATAATTCTGGTACCGATCAGTTGCAAAACAGAATTGAATGATCTAGTGAACGTGACGAAGTGACATTTTGATCCTCTCAAGTTTCTATTTTTACCGTGGAATTTGAACCAAATGTGTGTATAAATTCTCAACTTTACGGCACCTTGTTATGAGCTCTCGTGTAGTATTTCAGCTAGCAAGTAATTCCAAGTCATTCTGCTAGCAGACTAGCTCCGGTGTTTATTGCAAGCAAATGTAAGGCACGCACAGTTTTAAATAGCTAAATGTAAGTACGAACGTAAGTTAATGCTTCCAGAAGTCTGCAAGTGAAAGCGTTCTGGATTCAGAATAGGTGCTACATTATAATAAAAATGTCAGTTTGTTGGTTTGAAAATTCTTCACAGTTTTGGTCCTGAAAGAATTGACATGGTTCAATATTTAACACGTTGTTAATTTTAGATAACATATGATTTGAAGTGTAAGTATACTTATTTAAATACTTTCCCATAGAGTTTAAATTTTTAGGAGACGTTTCTAAAGATGAATTCATGAATAAATTAGATTCATCCCAACTAATATTATAAATGCGAAAGTAACTCTGTCTGTCTGTCTGTCTGTCTGTCTGTCTGTTACGCTTTCCCGCTTAAACCTCGCAACCGATTTTGATGAAATTTGGCATAGAGATAGTTTGAGTCCCGGGAAAGAACATAGGATAGTTTTTATCCCGGTTTTTGAAACAGGGACGCGCGCGATAAAGTTTTTCTGTGACAGACAAAAATCCACGCGGGCGAAGCCGCGGGCGGAAAGCTAGTGTGCAATAAAGGCATAAACACCACCCATATGGAAACAAATTAGGTAAGGAGCTACTTCATTATGTGGCCTCATATGCCTGGAAAGTTTAAATACTAGTAACCTAAGACGCATTAGCGATTGACTAAAGGAAATAATTCTGGTACCGATCAGTTGCAAAACAGAATTGAATGATCTAGTGAACGTGACGAAGTGACATTTTGATCCTCTCAAGTTTCTATTTTTACCGTGGAATTTGAACCAAATGTGTGTATAAATTCTCAACTTTACTGCACCTTGTTATGAGCTCTCGTGTAGTATTTCAGCTAGCAAGTAATTCCAAGTCATTCTGCTAGCAGACTAGCTCCGGTGTTTATTGCAAGCAAATGTAAGGCACGCACAGTTTTAAATAGCTAAATGTAAGTACGAACGTAAGTTAATGCTTCCTGTGTGCCTACCATGAGTTTACGTTAGGTGTGCTCGCTAGCGACTGCGTAAAAAAATGACATTTAAATGTATGACATATTGTGCAGCGCCCCTAGCGGCTACTTTCAAGAAATAAAATCGTCGTAGAATTTTTTGACGTATTCGCTAGCGAGCTCACCTAACGTAAACTCATGGTAGGCACACAGAAGTCTGCAAGTGAAAGCGTTCTGGATTCAGAATAGGTGCTACATTATAATAAAAATGTCAGTTTGTTGGTTTGAAAATTCTTCACAGATTTGGTCCCGAAAGAATTATTTATTTATTTATTCATGAATAGAACGGTAGTACCAATTACACTATTCAAACAAGACATAACAAAGTTCAGAATAACATTTAAGTAAGTACTTATAAACAATTTAACTTAGGAAAATGCGAATATTTTCACAGTAACCCAAACATTCTGCTAGTAACGTTGACTTGGTTCAATAGTTAACACGTTGTCAATTAGATAACATATGATTTGAAGTGTAGTATATTTAAATACTTTCCCATAGAGTTTCAATTTTTATGAGACGTTCCTAGAGATGAATTCATGAATAAATTAGGTTCATAATTATGTATTTTTACTTGAAGTATTTTTGAGCGTTACGACAGAAGCATCGATCCCATATTCCCATCGAAATGAATCGCCTAATAAACTAAGTATACATCTTAGATTTCCGGTGAACTTGGGGTCAATTTAACCCAACAAAATGGTTGGTTTGGGAAAATACCACACATCGTTTCCCACTTCAGCGTCGGCCATCTTCGGAGACTCGAGAGTGCGTTAATGAAACGTTTAATTAAGTAAACAAGCCTCTATCTACTCGTATTCATTAACCGGTCCCCGATACCTGTTATTATTTTTTGTTCAGATTACTTTATCAAAATAAAAATGAAACATCTGCCGCATCAAATTCAGTCACCACTGTTTAAAGTTTACGAAGACTATTATGAAGCACTCAAACGCAAACGCGGTGTCACTTTTCAGACTCTTCAGTCCTGATTGACTGAGAATACTTACTTACTTACCTACTTACTCTTGTGACTAGTTTCTAAACGATACCTTGCGTGAATTTATCAAGCCCAAAAATATTAAGAATCAACTAATATTCCTGCATAATGCTTTGCTCCCCAGTCTTCCAAGAATGCTTTAGTTAGTACTAGACACCCTGCAGACTACAGAATTTTAGTCGGCTGATAGTTTGGTCGGGCTGTTAATCAGTCTGAACGAGCGTGGAAGTGCGCACATTACACCGTTTTGGTATCGGGCGATTTCTCATAAAAATTGGAAGCTGAACTATCGGTCGACTAAAATTCTATAGTCTTAATGTAAGCCTAGGCTGTGTTATGAATACGGGCTGGAGGCCACCGCGGCCGTGGGACGGTGGGAGCTGGTCGCAATTAGGCGCATTCCTGCTTTCGGGAATACCTCGGCTTTCCGGAATACCGCCCCACTTTAGGACCTTAAAATTTTCTTTAAAAAAAAA